CCTGCTCCCTAGGCCTGCTCCCTCTGCCCCCTGCCCTGACTCATCCCTGCTCCCTAGGCCTGCTCCCTCTGCTCCCTGCCCTGACTCATCCCTGCTCCCTAGGCCTGCTCCCTCTGCTCCCTGCCCTGACTCATCCCTGCTCCCTAGGCCTGCTCCCTGCCCTGACTCATCCCTGCTCCCTCTGCTCCCTGCCCTGACTCATCCCTGCTCCCTGCCCTGACTCATCCCTGCTCCCTAGGCCTGTGGAAGAGGGTCTCACGGGATGTCTGCCCCTGGCCCTCCCCAGCCCCAATAGTGTAGGAAAGCCTCAGGTGTCCAGCCCGAGTCCACCCTCTGGAGCCACGCTGAGGCGGCTGCTGGCTGCCGACCTTAGAGCAGCCTCCGCCCTGGCTGTGCACGCCCTGCGGGAGTGCACCCGTGGGGGCTTCGCGCAGCATGAGGGGCTGGTGTGCTGCTTACACAACACCTCCATCCTCAGCTTTCATTGACTTACAGATGCCTCTTCTACCTCTGATGGGCAGGGCGGGCCAGGGCTCGAGGGAGGGTGGGGCAGGTGTGGCAAGCAGACCGCAGGGCAGCGTGGCCCAAACCTTCCCTCAGTCCATCACAGCCTTCTGCCGGGAAGACCCATTTTGGCACTACAGGCAGCTGTGAGGTGCCCGCCCTCACCATGCCCTCTGCCTGCCGGGAGCCGTTGTAGCTCTATTGTCATGTCACGCAGCTTCCAGCCCGCCTGAATGGCGGTGCATCGCACAGCGAGGGCTGGAGCCCTGAAGGGACTGCCCAGTTCAGACCTGAGCTTTGAGATGAGGCTGTGGGAGCGCCCTGGGGATCTGGGCAGGAGGGCCATGTGACGGACACTGGAGTGCATGGAGACTGGCCCCGAGGTGTGCGATGTGGTTGTCTGAGGACACAGGGATTCCGGGGAGCGCATCTTGAGGAGTCACTAGACTTCATTGCTTTGTAGCCAACTGCATCCGGGCCTGAGGCTGCTGACACCTGACACCAGAGGAATATTCATTTAGTGCCCACTTGTACCTTGAGCGAAG